ATTTACTGGTACTAGAACATATCTAACAAATTCAGCATTAAAAAATCCAGATCATTTGTCGTGAAACAGCTTTTAATCCAAATTTTTAATATTTTTATACTTCATTTAACTAAAACACCACTGAACTTCATCAGCCCCACCTAAAAATTATTTTTTTTTTCTGATGGACCCCAATTTAAAGCAGAGGAAAAAAATTAAACTCAGAGTGAGATGTTAATAGGAGAGACTCGGAAAATTTGGGTACTCAGACAAAAAGTAAGTTTAATGCTGCAATGACCTGCACAGGCTGGAAATGCCATCTGGTGGTTGCAGGTTCAGAGCAGCTAAGGAGAGAAAAATTCTGTTTGCTGGGACAGCGAGGGTTGGATCTCCACCATATTTTACTGAAGTGTGGTAAATAAACAGCAAAGAGTGATCTGTGTTAAACAGAAAAATCAGTCAGAATAGTGATTGTAATTTTGAAAAACTTCAACATTTATTTGCCAATGTAAAACACTGAAGCAATTATTGCTTCGATTACAGGAGCAGCTGGCACTAGGGCAAAAAAGTGGATCAGTGGGACAATATTTAAGAAAGGTCAATGAATTATCTTAAACCCACGAATTTTGGAAAGGTAATTGGGATTTGTTAATTTAGAAAAAACTCAGCAGGGTGAGCTGGCACCATCAGGAAGGTTTGGTGCTGCTGCAAAGAGGAACCTCAGGGGTGGCTCTGCAAGGACAACACCAACCAAAGCAGGGTCACTGCATCCTATGGATGAAAATTAGATAGAGGATATTAAAACTGGCAATATTTCAGTATTTGTTGTACAGAATTGGTCCCAGGAGCTGTGTGAGAGATGAATGCTCACAGTGAGGGATCCTCTCGGGGTGGTGGATGTGTCCTTGCTCTGCCCCAGCCTGGAGCAGACGGGGGAGAAGCAACAAACACGTCTTGAAAGCCCCATCCAGCCCCCATTCCCTGCTCCTGTGCAGACATGGAGTGAGAATTCCAAGGGAATTCACGTGATTTCATCCCTTAACTTGCTGCCACAAATGCAGTGCATTTATTAATTTATTTTCCTGTTCCACAATGCCCCATTGATTCTTCCTGGGCAATGACAATCAGATGTCACAGACAAAGGGAAATGAATGAAATCTGACACATTTATTTAAGCCTGCAGCGGACTAAATTATAAATAAATCCTGCTTTTTCTGCAGCACAAAGGTTGCAGACTGACTGTCCCTGTGGACCCTGCTCTCTTCTCACTGCTTAACAGACTTTCCAACACTTTCTTTTGTCCTGATAGCAATCTCTCAGCAGGGCTTTTGGCAGACACATGTATTATGTGTCAAAACTGAAGTGGAAATAACTGATGGGAAGTACAAAAATCTGATGGGAATAGTTCTAATAAGGAAATGAATAAACATCAAAACAGTAAAACATAACCAGAAAGAATCCAGCCAGAAAGCTTCTGAGCTGCTACTTGTCTGAGATCAGCAGCAAGGGCATTTTCAGAGTTCAGATTGTTCTGTATTAGTACAGAGAGCATTAATATATGCTGAACTCAGGCTTACATGTTAACTTAATTAATTTCCATTCTTATTTTAATGCTGTTAGAAAACAAAGCTCTCACTTTGAGATGAGCTTTAACTGTACTACAAAATGTATATAGTAGATTAATTTCTAGAACACTTTTAGAAACCCACTGACCACAATTAGCTACATTTAGGATGAGTTACTATTGTACATCTGCTCCTACCATCCATCACTGTGACTAACTTAAAAAAACTGAAATAATTTGGAAAATGCAAAGGTAATTCAGCATTTTACACTCAGTGTGACTGAAGGTGCAGCTCTATAAATATATTGGTAGAAGATGTGGCTACAAAATGCTTTGGGAAATGTTGGTGATTCTCTGACAAGTGAAGATTTCTGCCCTGAAAATTGCCTCCAGCCTTCCAAACGCAGAGAGACATTGAGGCTTGGGTGGAGATTCTGAGGAGAGCACAAAATCGTGTCTGGGGGATTATCTGGGAGAACCAGGATGAGAAGGAACTCAGAAACATTGGCTGATGAGGCTGGAGCCTCAGAGTGATCACCTGGCAAAGAAATCCACAGAATCTGAAAAAGACTGAGGGATGTGGAGCCCACAGGAGCGATGGAGCAGAAAAAGTGCCACCAACATTTCAAGCCGTGCTGGTGCTGGGCTGTGAGAAAAGCCTCCTTCAGGGATGCAGAATTAGCTGGAATTCTGCCTCATGCAGTCACAAATGATGCAATGTTTGTTACATTAATGTTAATGTTTAGTTATCTTTATGCACACAACCCAAATTTCTGTGTTGCTGGTTTGACTCCATAATTCAGGGACAGGTTTTTGTTCAACCAAGCTGAACTCAAATAAATCGCTGGTCCTCTCTAGTCTCCATTTGTGAAAAGTCTCTTTATTTTATTTTATTCTACTCAGAAAAGAAGCATCAATTATATTTCATGCGGTCTCTTCATTAATCTGGCTGGCTGGAACTGAAACTTCATTCCAAAACAGGTCATGTGTTTTGGACATGATTTTAAACTTGCAAGTTCTCTCTTCTAAAGGCTGCTACCCTTTGATGGATTCTTTGATTTTGCTGTTCACTGGACACTTGGTCAACCTCCAGGATAATGAAATTCCTACAAACTAATGCAGAAATTACATTCAGAGCTGTTATTTCTTATAATAATTCACAGAGACTGGAAATAACTTTATTTTCCACACTTGCAAGTCAAACAGGCCTGCTAAAAAGCAATTACAAACTCAACATGCAGGTTTTGAATTTACTGACACGTGTTGATGCTGGACATGTGTAAGTTTCCCATTTCTTTCCAACTAAAACAAAAAATGACATTTTTTAGCACTGGTCACAACTCTGCATTTTCTTACCACCATTTTATGCTCATTTATCAACAGATGACAGAACAAGGCAACCTTACATTGGAGATGGACTCTCACAAACCAGCTACAGACAAAAAAAACCTTTTATAAAATAGTTTGTGCTAAGTTAAATATCTCTAAATTCAGTAATTGTCAATTACAATATATTAAATAATATTGTAATAGTGGTGAATTTTCAGCTCCACTGAAGTCACAGGCAAAATTTACAGAACTTCATCCTCAGCCTCCGTCTCCCTTCCAAAAACAGGGATAGAAACATCAGTCCTCAAAAATACTGCCCCAGCTTCCTTCTAAAATAACACTAAAGTGAGTCAGATCTCAGCAAACCACAGGAGATGAACTCAGTTTGGAGTTAATCTCGGTGCTGCCTGGTTTTGCTGTTTAATACAAATCCATATTTGAGTAGAGCAGGAGCCCAGTGTGCCGTGGTGCTGCAGTCCCAGGGGGCTCACAAGGTCAAAGCACCATTTCAGACTCACAGGAAATGCTCATTTACCCCCAGCGCCCACACCAAGGACAACCTCAAGCTGTGCTCAGGTTTTAGGCTGATACTTCTCTCCCTTTCCTTTAACTGCAGTCCTTACGAGCTCCCCAAGAGAAACAGCATCAGATAGAAGTCTAATCCAAGGCATATCAGTGACAAATATGGGCACAAAGAGATGGAACCCTCAGTGGGGACGCTAAGTCTGCTCCCTTGAAACTGAACTGAAATTTTAACTTCTCCAGGAGCTCATCATTAAATGGCTTTGATAACCTTTAAGATTTTGCAATTCATAGTGAAACTCCTCAGTGCTTTTTAACCGGTTTTGTATCACATAAAAAGGTTTTCTCGTTTATTTTGGTTGCAAGCCATATGGGTATCACCACTTTCCAGCACACTGTGTAGGCAGAAAGTGTTACACTGTTTAACAGAGTGGTAAAAGCATTTTCTCCACAGAAAGGAATTCTTCATAATGATCTTCATGAGGATTATTCAGTGCTTCTCCCCATGGCAGGAGGCTGAGGTAAGGCATGGACAAACCAGAAGGAACAGTGCAAAGAAACCTCTCAGTACCAGGCCACAGATAAACACACAGCAGATATGATGCTGACGTGAATGACCATTCTGGGAGCAGATCAATACTGCACAGCCCAATTAATAAAACATAAAATGACTTTTTAAAGTTGCTATTGAAGCTGGACTATCAATAATATTGCAATATACACTAATTTCATATCAAACAGATATGAAAAACAAAGTTAAACCTGCATTGCACTTGATTCCCCAATTCTTACATCTGCTCCACATAAAAATTAATGATTAATAATAGTGGCCAAGTGTTTAAAATTAAATCAATGAATCCACGAATGACAGGAGATGTAACCCTCACAGGGTAAAACTGAATTTGTTTCCTTTCTGGGGGAAAACCACCCACACATCCTTGAATAAGAATCTTTGTTCAAAGGCTAACAGGAAACTCCAAGTGGATTCAAGGTAAATACCAGCCCCTGTAATCCAAGAAGATAAGAAGCACAAATGCATTGGTAATGTTACAATGTTGTAATACATTACTGAATTATACAACAGTGTTATTTCCCCAAATTCCTCCAACTTATATGACTTAATGGGGACACAGACAACGCTCATATATGAGATAATAAAGTGCTTTCATAAAGGATCACAACTTCCTGTGTTTCCAACAGAAGTATTTACTAAAATGTTATTAAAAGTGTTAACCCATGAGCTGCTGCACCAGAAACAAAACAGTCAGTAAAAAAGCTGGAATATGGTATTTAATTCCTGTACAATTCTACAGAAAAAAAAGCACCTGCAACAAAACCCAGCAGTGGTACCTTATGTCTTGTTGTTGTTAGCATAGTTCTGAAATGTGCACTGAGAGCTGCAGGATAAACCTCCCGAGCTCTATTTCACATTAGCCACGTGCATTGAAATACCCACTCTTGTTAGACAAAGGATAAGGCTTATACCAAAAACCACTGTGCCACTTGGCTGCATATCTTTGGTATATTTATAGTGCAACTATTCTGCTTCTTCTCTGAAGGGAAAAGTTTTCCAAAGCACTGCATCCCCTGCCACTGAGAACCTACCACGAACTCCTACACTCACTGGGACCTCTGACACTGACTTACTGCTTTAAACAAATGAAGAATGTGCAGTGAAAATAATTCCTTCCCGTTTTTTAAACACACTGCTGAAATAAAATGGTATCATGCTGGAAAGTAATAGCACATTTCAGTCCTCTTGCAAGATTTTAGGAGCATACAAATGTGAGCACAAATTTCACAGCAATTTTTAACAACAGATACCCAAGGTGCTATTTGAAAACATCTGTAACTTAATGATTCTTGATCTAGATTTAGCCAACCTTCATCTCTACAAAAAAACAACAAAAAAAGACACCTGTTCTTCATTTTGCTTAGATACTTAGAATTATTCATAATGCATAGAAAGGCTAGAACTACTTAATTAAAATATACTGCAAGCGTGTTTTTCTAAACTTATATTGCTAAAGCCTTGCTGTAAGATTTACTGGAGCTGGCCTTTACACACAGCACCATGTATTGACACAAGCCTGGCTATATACCTGTGTTTCAGCCTGTCTGAGTGGGCACACCAGCACACGACTATGGTACACATCACCCAGGGGCAGTGCAATGAAATGTGGAGCCACTGAAATGCCATCTCGTGGGGCCTCAGCTCCTGAACAGCAGCATTCTCTCTGAGCAGGTCTGTCCCACCAGGCTGGCATATTGCTGGACACTGGCTTCATCACTGGGCCCCTTCCTCCTCTTCTTGTACACGCTGTAAGGCATCACGGTTCTCTTGTGCAGCACCCTCACCCTGCCCAGCTCCTTCAGGCGACCTTCATCGACTGCAGAGGCAACCAGAACACACAAAATGTTATTTACAGCACCTTAATTTATGCCCCTAACTTCAATATGCATAATGAGAGCTGCATGAAGGAAGAAAAGTCATCTGCAGATAGATGGAAGCTGAGGTGAGCTGCAGAGAGTTCTTGGATCGTGGCTGGCACCAGACCCAGCCTGCAAAGGAACTGTGGCTGCAGAGTGTGGAGAGGCAAATCCTGCATCACATGTTTATCATGGTGATGGATGGCATTTCTGAAAACACCTCTTCTGCTGTATTTAAAAATCCACATTCATTTAGTGCTCCTAAATGCCAGAAGTCAAACTCCATCCGGGAAAAACTCAAACAGAATTGACCAGGGGAGACTTGTCATTACAGAACCCCCTGCAAAAGCCACCACACCAGCTGGGACAAAGGTACTAAAACCAGCAGGAAACCTCAGGCTGCTTCCTTAGGTAAGCATCAGGCAATAAACCACATTCCCAGGGGAAACTCCCTGCCCTCCAGCCCCAATCTGCTTTTCCCTCAGTTATACTGATTGTGAGTTTCATTCTAGGGGTTACATGTCCTTACCTAAATCTGATCCCTGAGCTCTGCGGATCAACAGGGTGAGCAGTGCAAGCACTCCCTGGGTGGGTACGACACAATTCCTTTTCAAAGATACACACACCACAATTAAACCTTATTTCCTTCACATACAGACCCCTTGTGCCTTAATTTATCCAGAATCATACACATAAGAGTGTCATTGAACAAGTTAAAACTTCCTTATTTTTATTAATCTCATTGATGCTCCTACTGCTGAACAATAATATCACATAGCTGCTGTGTGTCAGAAAAATGTGCACTACAGTGCTAGAAAAGTCTTTAAAGAAACTTACAGAACGTGCCACACATCTGAGGCCACTGCTGGATAAATTAGTAAAATTATTACAAAATAATAGGAAAAGGAATCTTGGACTTTTCTGAACTTTAGGTTCAAAAAGTCACCAAGAGGAGTCAACCTAGAATCTGAAACTTCAGTTTGAGAATCAGTTTAAGCATCTCCAGTAATAACAGAGATGATTACTGGAATATCAGTGTTTTGGGACATCAACTATGCAAAGACTTCCTTTTAGACCTTCTTTCTGCTTTTATGTTTTAAAGGAGGCCATGAAACTCTTTTCTGTGCAAGACACTCTGAAGAACCTGCCCCTGTTCATCCACAGAAATGGTCTGTAAACTTTTTTCCTGCTGATTGCCTGAATTTAGTATGTGAAACTTAATGAAGGCTGCTTTACCAAGTTTGGAATGACTTCATTACTTTTATCTGTGTTTTGATTCCTGACATGAAAGCACAATGTGTTTCTTAAGACTTAACTGGGAAAACATGGTTTGAAGGAAGAAAATCTGAGTAGCACTTGCTAAGATTGTGCTCCCCACTAATTATTGTTGGCAATTGCTTTAGATAAACACCAAGTCAAAAACACTTTATGGCTTTCTCTCCCTCTTTGAAATCCATCAGGTTTTTGATGTGTGGCCAACACCTCCCTGATATCCCAATGGGTTGGCTGGTTTTCCCACCAGCCCTTCTGCCTCTTCTGTTACATCCTCCTTGCTGAGAGTTCACCAAGGAAAAAATCTGCAAGTTTAGCTTCTGGAGGTGACACAAGTGTAAAGGTATTTTAACTTCTTCGATTGGAAAGTTCCTATTTACTGCAGCTCTAGACTGACTCCCAGTCTGTGCCCTGGGATGGATTTAGGCCAAGCTGAGCCCTCACAGCTCTGTGCCAAAAGCACTTTAGAGCTGGTCCATACTCACTGATACTCACTGATTTCAAACACTCCCAAAGCCTGATACTGTGGGTGAGTTCATCTCTGGCTTGCAGTGCTGCTGGCCCCACATTTGATTTCTTTGAGAGACTAAAGCTACTGTACCTTGGTTTCACTTCCTGCCTCAGCTGAACTCTCTTCTTGTTCAGCATTTGTGCCCTTCCTCCCCTTTTACTCCTTGCAAAGAAAAATAACATTCCAAATTTCTAGAATGATTACCTGTTCTTCCACTGACTCCCCTCAAAATCAAAGCTTTAATGACAAAAATAACCTTCTGTAAAAGTACTTAATGTATGTAACTTAAACTCCATCTGTAAAAGAAATCTTTTACTGAGATGTTAAGTAAAATAATCTCAAGTACATAGTTAAGCTTTTAGAGATGGCAAATAGGAACTTGTGTCACCATTATAACAAATCTGAAAGTCAAAACTCAGACACCTTTCAGTTGCTGCTGGTCTGGAGGCAACATCACGGAAATTCAGGAAACTATTCCCTTTAAACACAATTTAAATATAAGCAGAATAAATTTAAAGTAATTTAATGGAAAATAAAAGCAGATTGGGCTCTGGTACACTTTAACAAAGAAGAAAAGAAAATAAGAAAAATTAAGTATCTGCTCCTGCTGAGTGGCACATGGTAAAATCTGCTTCCTATTCAAGATGATGCCAATTGAACTCAAGCAGGCCTTCTCTGTGTGGCTGATGCTGGGATACAGCAGCAATCACAATTCAAAATGAGACCAAATGCTTTATTGTAAAAAGCTCCTTGCTGAAAATAAGAAAAAAACCCCATCCCTTTAAGCTTTAGTGAAGAAATTTTATTTAGTGACTTACATTTCCCTGACTGATCAGATAGTGGAACAGTATATTAGAGCAATTATAGTCATTTCTGTAATTACTGAATCCAGTACTGTTACCACTAAAAAGTTTTTTAGAAGTGCTTATTTTTCCTCCTCACGCTTTCTCATTTTTCACCCTCTGAGCTGTTGATTTATTATAGTCTACAGAAGAGACACTGTTATTTGACACAAAAAATACACAAGGTTTCATCCCTTAATTCAGTTACATCTATCAGCAAAGTCTGGATGCTAGATACACAAAATACAGAGCAATCAATTATGCAGATTGAAACTGCAGATTTAGGGAACTGGGCAACTGCAGCTGCCAACTGAAAATAGAAATATTATCCTGTAAGTCTCAGAGTTAAAAATACAGGTGAATTCGTAGTGAATAAATTACCTGTCACTTCTTTCTTTTCTCCTCTATACTCGTAAAGCAGCAAATTACTTATGCTGCAGTTGCCTACTGAAATTTGAATATAGGAGAGATTTCACTTCTAATTCAAACTTGCCACTGTGACCCCGTAAAGACTGCAGAGAGGTGTTAAAATGTTCTGTTCCCAGCCCCAAACCACTGCTAAATGGAATCCACACATGGAGGGTTTCCTCTCTGAGAACACAAAGGGTATCAGGCACTAAATGCCAGCAGAGAACAAAGCAGGGAGCAGGAGTGACCCAGAGCCTCCCATGCCATGGGGTGTCTGGGCAGGCTCTGGGCTGAGCTCCTGGCCCAGCTCACACATGCACCCTCACCTAAAGGTAAAATGGTAAAAATTTGCTTTCTATTCATTCAAGAAGGGAATTTGCTTTCTATTCTAAAGGGCAGCCTCAGCCTGCACTCATCCACACTCCAGGGATGAGGAGGAACATGAGCAGCAGGAAGCCGAACAAACTCCTGGACAGGCCAGTCCTTATTTCATTGCACAACCCAAATCAACTTCCCCTTAAACTGCAAGCTCCATCCCAAGCCAAAACACCATTTTCAAAGGCTGATAAGCATTCCTGCTGAAATACCAGCATGAAATAAGGAGGAGTGATTTCACCTTTTTTATTCACAGTAATAGAAAGCTGGACAGCAATGTGCTCTTTAAAGAAATCCAGAATTTCATGGTCTTTTCCTTACAGCTCAGGGGTGGATTAGCATTTTTCTAACGTTATTTGGGGAAGCCCACATCCAAATATTTTTATTCTTCACATGCATTAAGCTTTATTATTACTCCCTAATAGAAGCTGAAGTGAAAACCAGCTCCATCTGCTCAGAAATCTGGGTAAGCACGTGCAAAGCTGGACAAGGGAGACTCGGAGTGCAGAGTGAGCTCTGCAGGAGCCTGAGAGCCAACACCACGCTGAAAAAAGGGTGATGGCTCAAAGTTTCTGCAGAAATTATTACTAAAACAGCTTTTTTGGTGGTGGCTGAGCTGGGCCAAGCTGGTTTTGATCAACAGTGATGTGGAAGGGCAGCCTGAGCTGCAGCATCCTGTGCTGCTCCTCTTTAGAGCCTTCCTCCCCTTGGACAGACTCCTCACAAAAATGACATTGTTTAATTTCTCTGGGGTATAATCTAGAGATGGAAGCAATCTAACTTTCCTTTAACGTGCTTTTTTTCCACTTACAGGAAAACAAGTGAAGAAATAATTAAAAGCGAAGTGACAAATGTATTGACTTTCTCATTTTCTAAATAGGAGAAAGGACAACTGCCAATTTCCAAGCAACCCCCATTTGTCACAGGAAAATATTTCCTATATCTTCTGTACAGAATGGACTCAGAATTAGCAAGAAGCCTGAGGACTGACATTTCTAACTCACAAAAAGAAATGTGATACTCCTGCTAAATTTTGAAATTATTCTGTTCCTGATTGTAAGTTTAATTTTCTTTAAATACTCCTTCAACTCCCTGGAATCATTGAACTATTTGACCATCATCACTTTGTTATTCTGCATCCATACTACACAGAGAACCTGGATTTTTTCCCCCACCACAGCAGGATGAAACAGTGAAAGAAAGAAAGGAAAAGGTAAATAATCAACCTAATTCAAAAATTAAAATATTTACATCAGTGTCATTAACTGAAACCTGTGATTCACTTTAAAAGTAGACAATGAAGAAAACTCACACTATAAATTAAATTTCCATTTTGCTTAAAAATGGAATCTCAAAAGAATTATTTTACCTCTAAGCCTGAAATCCACAGAACAAAAATTCTTAAGATAAACACTTGACGACTGCTGCATTTTCAGCCCATGGATATGCTGGGGTTTTGATTTTGTTTCATGTTGCTTGTGGTTTTTAATTTTCAATTTTGAAGCACTTAGGATTTGCATAGTTTTTAAAGATGAACAAAATGTGCCCATTT